TCCCCCTTTAAGAAGACACTGCTGGGTCCCTATCAAACTATTGTTCCCACCTTGATCCTTGCAGGCCGAGTGCCTTCCCCTCATGACTCAGGGGAAATCCTTACCATTCTTGAGCAGGAGACAGAAAACAACAGCCCATGGGCCAAATGTGGCATACCTCCTGTTTTTGCACAGCCCACAAGCTAAGAATGGTTTTCACATTTTAAAATAATTGAGAAGAAGAACTTATTACACATGAAATTTACATAAACTGCAAATTTTAGTGACTATAAAGAAAATTTTATTGGAACACAGTTATGCCCATTCATTTACTTTTTGTCTGTGGCTGCTTTCATTCTACAATAGCAAAATTGAATGGTACACACTACAAATCACAGCAACAAGGTTACAATCTGAAAGCACTTTCAGGCCCCAAGAATCACCTATTTGGTGAAGACATTTTCAAAGATGAAATACATAAAATCTCATTACAGATCAGCAATAACAGATGACCATTTGCAATCTGTTTGATGATACCCTAACCCCCAATTAAAGGAAAATGTTAACACCAAAAAGAAATCCATAGTAGACTGGTATTTTAAAAATATATCTAATTATTAAAATACTTTGAATTTCATCAATCCATAAAAGCTTTGTGGTAATTTGTTTCTCTCATTTTATAAATACCTACCCAGGACCCTCAGTTTCACCTCTTGACCCACAAGCCAAAACTGTTCCCTACATAACTCTTTAGGGAAAAAGTTCACCAATCATGGTGATTCTGTTCCTTTGCTGGTGAGTGATTTGAAGGGTGTTTGGCCTCATTCTGGCCGATGAGACGCAAGAGCAAACATGCTGGTGTTTGTCTTTGGAAATGTTATCTCCTTCCTCTGGACATTTCAGATGTGATGTTGGGAAGTGCAGCAGCCAGGAGGGGGGCCAGTCTGACGGCCGTGGGACACCCTGGGGGTGGAGGAGCTTGCATCCTTGCATTATGGGTAAGCCCCGAGATAGCCAACCCTAGAACCTTCTGACCTTGGGACTTTTTGTGATGCGAGACAGTAAGTGTTCTCATTATTTAAACTATTCAAATCAAAGTGTTCTGTGTTTGCTGTCCAAAGAGTCCTAACTGATAGCACCTGACAGCATCTCATGGCTCCTTCTCATCATATAGGGCTCAAGACAAAGGTCCCCTTCTCAGAAAGGCCTTTCCCAGCCTCTAGAGAAGCAGCCTGTGACTCCCTCCACCCATAGCCACTACCACTGTCTGTAATTATCTTGCCAGGTGGATTCCCCTGACTCAGATGCAAGTTCTCTGAGATCAAGGGCATTATGTCATTCACCACCGTTGCTCCAGGGCTTAGAACGGAGTCTGATGCCAAGTGAGTGCTCAGTAAATATTTGGGGAATGAATAAAAAAATTAATCATATTTTAACTGATATTTAGTGGCATTATTAGTACTACTATTGATGAAAATGCTAAATATTAATATTTACCACTAATAAATATGTATATTGTTTATTATCCAAGCTAACACTGTCATTAAGTGTTTCGCATATGCCGTACTCAGAACCAGAGCTTATCTCACGTCCCTCAATTAATCTTTGTAGCAGTGTTATGAGGTAGGTGCTACTGTCCCCACATTACAGAAGATTCTCGATGCCCATTTCCTCTATTACAGTCTATATTAACACAAGCAAGGGCAATAAAATGATAATAGCAATATATAGTTTTAAAAACCAGCAAACTTAAGGTGGACTCATTGTTCTGCCTCTGAGGCCTCTTTAGTGGGAAACTACACTGAACCGGTATGGTTTTGTCCCAGTCCTCATCCTCACCTCCTTGCAGGAGGAAATTCCAGCAGAGGCAGGAAGCTCGCTCACCAGGGGCACATTTCAGACCCAGTTTACCAGAGCAAGTAATGATGGCCACCGCATCCCACTGGAGGAGAGTCTATGGTGACACAAGGTTAATTGCCCAGTTCCCCTGGGGACGCTAGAGTTACGCAGAGAGGCTGCAGCAAGTCCTCTGATAACATCTCTGAGAGCAGGCCAATTGCCATCTTCCCCAGGTCAGCTGCTGGGGTGCTGGTTGACCCAGTTTTTTTCCCTAAAAAAAGTTACATCTTGGTTTCTGGGTGTTCTCTGCTTTAAGTCTAATAATTTTCTAGGATACCATCTCCTCATGCCAGATTCCTGAGGGCAGTCCAGAAAGCACATGTGTGTAAGAATGAATGAACATTCCCCTAGGCCAGTAGTCTCGGTAAGTCTAACAACTATTTCACAGCAACAACACTCATTTCCATCTCTTTGTACTTAACGGTAAATCTTGAAGGGTGTGCTTGGGATGATCTAACCTAACCCCGTGGGCTCTGAAGCATCGCATCCCCAAAATTCCCTAGAACACTTCAAGAGATGAGGAATAGGCCACATACTTTAGTCCAGCACCGTCCCGTAGAACTTCCGGTGGTGATGGAAATGTTCTGTATTTGCTCTGAACAACACAATAATAGCCAGTAGCCATATGTAACTATGAGCCATTGAAAAGTGGCTAGTGTGTCTTAAGAGGTAAATTTTAAATTTAATTTAATTGTATACAGCTACACGTAGTGGCCAGCTGTTGTCTAGAGCATCTGGGGACACCGATACATTATGACAGGGTCGCTTCTCTTTCATAGCTGCCTTCCAGGGTGTGAAGAAGCAACGACACACTTAGTAACCTTCCTCAGCAACGTCTGGAAATCAGCCAGCAGTTATGAATGATGATGGGAGTAACGATACAATCTACATGGAGCTTCAACACAAGCTTGCTTTAATCCTATGAGTCAGGTCCTTTCCCGTTTTAGAGCAGAGAAGAATGGGCAGTGTAACTGTTTGACCAAAGTCACAGAGATTTTTTTGGCTTCCAGTCCTGGGTGTGCCCTGCATGCCCACTGCTTGGTTGTTTTCCAATTTCACAAATGCTCTATGAGCAAAATTGTCCCAGGTAATGATCAGACAGCTGCAGCCTAATCAGAAAGCTGGGAACATGGGAGGGGGGTCAGCTGCAGGGGCGCTGCTGGCAGGGAGGAGAGGCAACGCAAGAAGGAAGCAGGGGTGCGGGGCACGGGGCGCTCACGCGGGTCCTGGAGGACACGACCTCGCCGCCCCCGAGTGCGTGCCGGGCAGGCCTTGAGCCCCGTCAGCGACCCTGTGAGGGCCGTACCCCACGAGGAGAGGGGGGCTCTGAGGTTTACAGAACGTGCTAAGACTGGGTCAACCCTCCAGGTAGGAGGGACGAGATTCCTCGGCTGCCAGCACTCCAGATGGCCCCTTCCCAAGTTCACAGCCAAAGCCAGAGACCAGAAGCGGGCAGCAGGGGGAGACAGGAGCAGTTCTGGTCTCACCAGGAAGACCAGAGAAAAGGCCGGGGTGCTCTGTGATCCCCTCACAGGCCCTCCACTTGCAGGCGGAGGCTCAGTTTCCCGGTTCTTACGAATGTTCCGGGACAGGCAGTCCCAGGACTGCGGCAAGCGTGGCGGAGGGGCGAGCCCAGCTGGGAGTGACCGACGGACGCCTCAACACGGCTCTCCTGGGGATGGCATGGCAGCGGGAGGGGGGGCCTGGTTCTTTCCTCACTGAAGACCTAGGACCACAGGGGCCCCAGAACAGGAGGATGATACACCTGGCCTGCGTGCCCCCTGCCCTGAGGGGACTGATTCTAAGCCAGAGGCCTGAATGTGCTGCTGGGGTCAAGGCTTAGAAGGAGAGAAGGGAAGGGAAGGGGGGATGGTAGGGAGGAGCAGATGAGGAAGGAAGAAACAGGGCGGCAGCTTCCACCACAGGGGCCTCACAGGGCCCCGTGGCCCCAACAAGCAATCCCGGTGCTCTCGGCAGGAGCCCTCAGACATGGCGCTGAGAACCCCCACCTTTAGGTTCAGTTCTGGCAGCACTCCCACCCCCACTCTGGCTCCAGCTGTACCGATTAGACCCAGTTCTTTGTATGCTTCAAGTGTCTGTCCAAACGCCGCTGCCTCTAAGGAACCCCCCCAGTCCTCGGGCTTGTACTTAACACTCCTCCTGCTCCCCTCTTAGCTATTTCCTCCCCACCTGTTCACCTGTCTGTTCCCTCCTGTGGATGAACGGTAGGGACTTCAACCGACCGACGGCGCCTTCCAGTGTCTGGCACGTAGTAACAACAGGACGACAATGAACTCAGAAAAATTAACATTCACTGAGCAGTTACTTTGTGTCAGACATGGCCCTAAACACTTGATATGTATTAATTAATTTCATTTTTACAAAAACCCTACAAAGTACTATTATTATTTTCATCTTACAGAGGAGAACAGGGAAGCATAGAGAAGTCAATAAACTTGCTTAAGGCAACACAGCTAGCTGGCAGAAAAGTACAAGTGGAACCGAGGCAATTTGATTTTAAACCGTTACCATTAGCCACTTCTCCAACTTCTCAATATGCTGTCGGTGTTCACACATGTTAACCACCTCATTTACTTACTGTTTTCTTTGTAATGCACTCCTGTTAAATCTACTGTGATAGGAGGCCTCCTGTAGCAGAAAAAAATGCTCGTACTCTGTAACCCATAGGTGCTTAGCAAATACTCCCAGTTATTAGAGATAACAGCAAGCAATCTAATTTGCATAATATGCTATATTAATTGCTCTACATAACAATTTTTATTCTGTCATGTGTGCTTTGCCTACTGGCCTTCAGTGAACCATATATTCAGATACAAGAATTGAACAATTTCTTAACTGTGTTTGGGGACAATTTGTGTCTGGTAAAAGCAGGGTCTGGATGCAGCAGAAGCAGGGACTGTGAGGACGACTCCGGTAAGGACACAGGCTGGCTCTAATAAAGGCAATGTGGTGACACTGGGCCCTTTGACCCCTGGTGTTGTTTTGTCCTTTGAGTGACAATAAGCAAACATCGTAGTCATTCCTGATTGTGAAATAGGAATGAAACTCACAACTGTGAGCCCTGGCACGTATGCTCAGGGAAAGTGAGTATGCCATGCGCAGGCTGGGCACCTACTCACAGGCAGTGGGAGTGTGGCGGGGGGGGAGGGGATGGAAGAATCAACCCCCAAGATCCCCTCATCCTAAACCTTGGGCCCTGTGCCCATGTTAGGCTACAGAGCAAAGGAAATTAGGGTGCTGATGGGATTCAAGTCGTGAGCTGGCCGGCCTTAATATCCTGCACTACCAGATGGGCCCAGTGTGATCCGAGTCCTTAACTGTGTTAGAGGAAAGCAGAGGAGTCAGTCAGAGGAAGACAAGCCCCAAAAGATGCAACATTCTTGACTCCGGACGTGGAGGAAGGAGCCACAGCCCAAGGTGGCCTCCTGAAACTGGAACAGGTAAGGAAACAGATTCTCTCCTAGAGCTTCCAGAAAGGAATTTAGTTTTGCCCGGATTTTAGCCCAGGCCAACGAGAACTCTGCTGCACTCCAAGATTGTAAGCACATACATTTCTGTTTTAAACCACTAGGTTTGTAGTAACGGGAAGCTAGCATGGGGTGAGGGGAGGCAAGAAGCCAAGGACGGCCTGCCTGGGGAGTTCGTCCCCTGAGGGGCTCACGCTCTCCTGGCTGGGCATGACCCGAGACAGCCAGGTGTGCACTGCGTCAAGGATTCTTCCCACCCCCCGAGCGCCTTTCTCGCAGCTTAGGTGCAAAATACAAGGGCACAGAATACAGTTCCAGACTTGGGTTGAGCCCTCTGAATGACAGAGAAAGCTCAACACC